GTTGATGTTCTTATACTTTGAGATGACAAATTTCTTTCACTTCGCTTCAGTCCCTCCGTATAAGGGTAAAATCAATATGTTTAACAGATCATACGATTAAGATAGTTGAAAAGATATTACTAAATAAAATATTACTATTAAAAACACCAAAGATTTAGTACAGATGAAAGCTCGCAAATTTAAAGAATTTTTGTACAAAGCTCGCAAATTTAAAACACAGTGAAGTCGTGCATGATAAATGATTTTATGTCATCAACACAGTGAAGTCGTGACAGTTGTATAAGGTCTTGCCACAACACAGCGCTTTTCTGTGGCGCCGTGAAGTAAAATTGCAAATAGTAAAAGGACTTTGTGCTTTTTAAATAGTAAAAGGACTTTGTGATTAATTGATCAGCTTCCGTTGCGAAGTCGAGAATTTCGGCTGGAAAGTTCTCGCCGGTCTGGCTTTCGCCGTCTGAAACCCACACCTGCTTTTCACTAGCGCTCGAGGAAGACTCGCTATCCGAGGCAGAGGTTGAACTCTCGCTGCTGCTAGAGTCACTCGTATGACTGGAAGAGTCCTTGTAGGTCTTGGAGCGTTTGCTCTTTTTAGACTTACGGCTGCGTTTAGATTTCGCATGTTTACGTTTCGGGATTTTGAACTCGCCGAAGGATTCGCGAGACGTTTTGTGCCTTAGGCCGGCGTGTTTTTACTTGACTCGTGGTCAGAATGTTCTCCTCCGTCGCTTTCTGACGGGTTTTCATGTATAAACTCCTTTCGAAGGGTTTTAGCAGTTCTTCATCAGCTCACCGAAAACGGTTGATATTTTGTCGCTCTAAGGACTACCTTTCGCATTTGAGTCTGCTTTTGTGGTTATTTATAAATATTGTGCTTTATAGATGGCTCAGGCCACTATGGAAAATGTTCCTGTGGAAACTGAGAGTGCTCCGCGAGCTGTGTCGCGAGAAAAAACGCCGGCTGACCGGCTGAGTAAAACTGTGTCTCAGAGCCCTTCGGCTTCGACAACAAAACGGAGACATTCGTCTCATACAAAGCACAAACATTCGTCAAAAAAGGCTAGGAGTAAGCGAAGTAAGTTTTCGCGTTCGTACTCCACTTCAATACTCGTAAAATACTAAATAAATACTCGACCCCCTTTCCTTTGAGGGATAAATATTTATTTATATTCGTAATATTTATAATATTTTTCAAATTTCTTTCACTTCGCTTTAGTCCCTCCGTATAAGGGTAAAATCAATATGTGGAAAATGAATTTATACAAGTAATTAAAACATAAAAACGATTCGAAGGCGCTGTCTTAGGAATTAGGTAATAAACCGATTTTATGACGTAATTCTAAATTTAAACACCTAAATCTAATCCTAACCTTAATTCAGGGATTTAAGTCGTGTATTTAGGATTTATTCAACATGGAATTATTACCAAATTAGTGACGTCACATGGAATAAGTAATTAATTGATTAATACAGAATTGCATGACCGCATTGACAAGCATCGCTCGGCTTTAGTTTTGACTAATTCCTCTACGACTACGACAATCAATTAAGCAGAAGACAGCGCCTTCGAATCGTTTTTATGTTTTAATTTCTTGTATAAATTTATTTTCACCATCTCATTGTTGTCTTCAGAAGTTCATTTCAGCTGATATTTATATTGGAGCAGCAATAACTAACCTAATATTAACATATAATTTAAGTTGAAACTGAAATATCTAAAAAACTACTGATAAATATTCAATGAAAAGTATTTCACATGAAATTATTTGATCATCGAGCACTAGAAAGTGTTGGGATCATCAGCAAGTGTCATTTACTCATGTGAGAACGTCAACGTTCCTCTTAAAAATGCATGTGTTAATATGTTTGTGTGGGTGCATTGATATTATTGACAATGTTTCGTTACTTTTGAATTGATTTTTTCAGTAAAATATCGTTAGTTTGTATTTACTTGGTGTTGAACTCGATGTTTGAAGTCAACGTTACTCGTTAGTTGTTGTTTTCAAAATATATATCAGAGATCTCGACACAAGATGAAATCAGTAATACGAAGTAATTACGCACATTAGGCCGGTGCATTAACACCACGGGTATTTTACAACATTGAGTTGAACAATTTAACCAGCAGGATACCATCAGAGTGTTTGGTTTATTCTTGTCTGCTGAATTTGTCAACATTTTTTTGCGTTGATCAATTTATTTTTTGCGTAAATCTGTGGAATTGTTTCTAGGTCGTGAATGATCAGATTTCGTAGCCATAGGTACGTTTTTGTCTCTTTCTTGAAGATTGTAAATAATTTTATATCTTAAACAGCGGAGGTATGCTGGCACAGGCCCGGCACAGCACTGTGGCGTGATATTTTAACGTTCAGCAAAACTTTGAATAAAATCAATCGTAAATCTCGTTCCTAATATCCTTTATTCGTCTTACTGTAACATATCATGTTGGTTGTCAATAATTTCGCTTTAGCAAATTGTTTTTCGTGACCCTAATAATATTTACATAAAGGCGGTGGAATTACGTCATGGGGCATCTTTTATCTTAAATTTGCCACATTTATCTTCCATATGTCTCATCTAACGAGAACTACCACTTTGAGTAGTTAACATTCACCAAAGGCGTTAAACGAACGCAGTCTCATTACTGAACGAAACAATCGTTAAAATACAGTTTCCTACGTTTAATAACGTTCGCCTTAATTTATTCGCATGAAAGTTGCCAGGCTGGAGAACTGAACGCTTGCTTGCTTACGTACGGAACGCGAACATGGAATTTGCTTGCATGAGATGTTATAACTCTGGCCTGTGGCATGTCACAAATTTTATGTTTCACAACGGTATAATTATAGCTTACTCGCTAACTTTCTAAGATCGTCGTGCATGTAGCTCTGTGCAAATGTACCCCACTTTTAAATCATAGTACTTGCTTGAATATATTACGAAAATATTTTTATTCCCGGAAGTATACTTAATATTTTGGAATTCTAACATCTGATCGTGAATCAAATTATATTACTAGACTGTACATGTAGCGATTACAAATCAATATTTCACAGAGGGTCAAGGTATAAAACTAGTTTTATACAACTCGTTAGAAAGGGATCGCTAGAAAGTTTCATTGCTCTTTCTTACATTGTCGGGGCCGCACAAATAACTAATGTTATTCCCTTGTGACTCTCGTGGCTGTGCCTGGAAACGTTTCATATTTTTAAACTCTGCACGATTATGAACTACTTGACATGTACGACACGATAAGTTAGGAAATCTGATGATCTATAGATTAGGCGTGTACAGGTACCGACATAGCTACGTTCGATCCGAAATTGATATTAGCGAACTGAAGCACAATAAATTCTTCATAATTTGCACATTCTACAGTATAAAGTATAAACGATATGTGCATATGAACATTTACATATATTACAAATGCTGCCAATAAGAATTCAACTTCATACGTTAGAAATTCACTAGCGCTCGAGAACTGAATTTACGTTCGTTTAACGCCTTCGGTGAATGTGAACTAATGTTTTAACAATGATCCTGTTTTTTCATTCTGACCTACCAGATTCTGTATTTTCATTATGACCAACTAGTTACCTATACAAATCTCAATTTAACCAACTATCAAATTGTTTCTTTCGTTCTGCTGAAGCGTTCAACCAAGAAATTATAGTCTGTTTATGTATATATCCCAATAACAAGCCTTTCTTTGGAAAGCCTAAAAAAGCTAAAAGTATATATCTGTTTTGAAATGAATAGGTTTTGCAAAGAAATCCTGCAAATTTGAAGCAATAAAATGACTCGATTGACAACTGTCACACGGATTGTGACTAAAACACCACACGAGTAACACGAGTTACATACGAGTACATACGAGTGACATACGAGTACATACGAGTGACATACGAGTATGAACGAGTGACATACGAGTACATACGAGTGACATACGAGCACATACGAGTGACATACGAGCACATACGAGTGACATACGAGCACATACGAATGACATACGAGTCACATACGAGTACATACGTTGGATATACGACCAAAATCAGAATAGCACTATAACTACGAAATGGCTCTATAGGGCCGGAGACTATGCTATATTAGACTCGCCGATAAAGCAAAAGCTGAAGAGATGAGTATTTTAGGTTTTGTTGCTATATTGTCGCTATATTGTCGCTATATTGGTTTTTTAGGTTTTATAGATTTCGAAAGGTAAGAAAGCAAAATTAGCCATTTTTATGCCATAGGATCAGGCTTATGATCGCCATGTCTTGTTGTCAATATAATACACTTGGCATTTTTTTTCTTTTTATTACAGTAAAAAGCGGAAATTTTCTTAGTTCGCCAGTAAAAGCATCTTTAAAGCTGCCTAGTTGTTCCATGAAACATAGCCGGAAAATACGCGATAAAACGATTAAACAAATGTGCATTTTTGTCCGATGTTCACGTGAAGAATCTCACTATAGGTCGGATCAGTTTTATCAATGAAAGCAAATAAAAACACGAAATTTCAGACTGTGCATGTACCGAAAAAAATTATTACATTGCCACACAAAAATGACGATTTTATGGCCGCGCGTTCCCCCGTTAGCCGTTCCCCATTTTAAAGATAGCCTGACTCGTATGTCATTCGTATGTACTCGTATGTCACTCGTATGTACTCGTATGTAGTCGTATGTCACTCGTATGTACTCGTATGTAACTCGTGTTACTCGTGTGGTGTTTTAGTCACGATCCTGTCACACGAAGTAAGCTTTAGGTCGACAAATTAAATAACCGCGGCACAGCGCTCTGGCGTCGTATTAAAAGCTTCAAACCGGCTTTGTTTGATATCTTAAGTTTTCTCATCTCACCGACTCACATATTGTTGGTTTCTAAAGCCACGTATTAACTTGCTGGACAATTACTAACCAGATCATCGTGTTTAACAAATAAACTGTGGAGTAACTTTATCTTAAGCTGTGTGGAATTACATCATGATGTGGTTTTTCTTTTAGAAATAAGAACTTTTATCATGTGAAGAAAAATATATTATTTACGTTGTCATCTTTAATGATCGTTTATGGTGGTTCGTTTAACGAAGTCGAAGGTAGGAAACATTAAAGACTGTTGATATATTTAAAGAGATAATGTAATATGTGAGATGAAAGAATCTATACAATACTTCATGTCGCTATAGTCCAATACGAGATGAAATCAGTAAGATGAAATATTTACAAAAAGCATTAGACCACACAACTTCGCATGCCTCTTCCCCGGCTGAAATTATGAAGCTATAAACATATACCAAAGCTGAATAAATAATAACCAGCAGGATAGAATAAAGTGATTTGTGTTTTTTATCCCCAAGGTTTGTGTACATTTCTGAGCATCTGTCAGTACATTTCTGACTAAGATTCTGTAGAATATAGACGCTGTAATTGAATTGTTGCCTCAAGATTTAAAAAGTATAAATTGCAATCATTTCTAAAGATTATAAATTGTTGCCCGACGCAGTGTTGTATCATTCTGTTAAGACGTTACAAAATAATGTCGCAAATTGCGTTTCTTTTATTTCCCCACCTGCCTATATGACATATGATGTTGGTAGTTAAAAAATGGCGTGTTTTATTTGGCATTTCAATCGGATTTGACTGAGGCATAGCCTCGAATATTCTTTGAACATGAGTGAGGAAATGATGAAGGAATGTTTGAAGGAAGTTTCACCTATTTCTAGCAATCGCAAAGCCAGCACATATAGTGAGCAATTAATTCACTGAGATTAGTGTGTCGATTTCTGAGTTGGGTCAGTGTGACCAGATCTGGTATATTTTTTGCCATATCCGGACGGATGCATAGACAGCCCCACTTGATTTTAAAAATTTCTACATTTAGGGACCCGCTTACCCGGCCAGCCCCGTAAGTGAGATACATTTTTTCCCGTTTATATTGAGACCACGGGCTGGCCAGTTTACGTTTTAAGTTTTGTATTCCAGCAAACAATCAATTACTAGATGCTCTACCATATCCGGCTGCCATTTGAAGTTCTTTCGTTTGGGTTTTTGGACCGTATTCACTTTTTCGGCGACTACTGAAGACACAGAAGCTTCACAGGTTTCGGCTATTTTGAAAAACCACATGAAAACGTACATGATGTGCATTTGTACATTACAAGTTTTCACCCTGGCAACCGGACCAGCCCGCTTGCGTGTGTTGACATGGAGAAATCTTCATCTCAGTAATCGAGATCTCGCTTGTTCAAAGCGATATATCGGCAAGCGGGCCAACCCGTTTGGCCATATAAACGCAAAACATTTTTTCTATAAAATCTACAATGTAGTGAGATCCCGCTTACCGGGCTGGCCGGGTGAGTGGGCTAGCCCGGTCTCCATATAAACAGCCCCCTAGACCGGTCAAACTAGATTGTAAGCAAGTTTGACTAAAAGTTTTTTCACCCACGACCACGTGTTTTTTTACAAAAAAATTTCCACAGAAAGAATCCTTTCGTCTAATTTAGTTTAAGTTCCATCCGATTGTCCATGCACGATGATCAGATAATGTGGTTGTATATATGAAGAATATTATCAAGTTAAAGATGATCATTTCAGTAATATGAATTTCTATTTGATTATCTAAGATATATAGCCTATTAAAATTGAAATTCACAATATGTAACTCTATTTCACCTAATTCTTTTTCTGGGTGTGCCCTATATAATTAAAAAAACTACTGTGAAATTTTGTTACAGTAATTAACCCTGCCAAATACCATGGCTTCTGTTGATCTGCAAGAAAAGGCAAATTTCACAAGACTCAGTAGACTTTTGGTTGACAAAGGAACTGAGGCTTTGAGAAATACATTTGATACCATCCATCCACCTGTTAGTCTACCTGGAGTACTGGCTGCAAACAAAACATCTCTTCAAAAGTTAAAACCTCGAGTTATTAATAATTCCCAGTGGGATTTGCTGTTTCCTCCGTCTGGCAACCCAGATTCCAAAACCTTTGATGTCACATTACTTACAGTTCTATTTCGGAACATTTGTGGTTTTCCATCAACAGGATGGGATGTAATGCCTCCGGATACTGATAGATCAGAGCAAGCGAATATCGCAAGAACAAGTGTTACAGAAATGAAGTTATTGCACATGTAACATCCACTCGAGTTGACAATTCAAAATTTCAGTCTTTATGGAAGAAAATCTCCCAGGCGATAGTAGAATTGGGCGTTTCACAGAGTGATGTAGACGATTTAGAAAAATGTCCTCTTGGGCCTAAAGAAGTAGTGTATGTGCAAAAGCTGAAAGATTGGAAACTACACGAAGATGAGTGTATTAAATTGCTTAAAGCAATTGAAGCTGGTATAAATAATGTAACACAAGTCGCTGAAGAGACACGAGATGCTGTAAATGAAATGCGTCAGTCATTGGCCAAGCGTACGCTATCAATACCCGGGGACACCATTCCTGAGAAAAGATCCAGGATGAAAAGTGATGAAGATTTATTGCGAAAACTTGCTAAGCATAATTTTATGGGAAAAATACGAAGAAAAGTGAATTTTTTCCTTCCTGGAACAAGAGAGTGGTTGTTAAAGAAAGTTAACAAGTGGTTTGAAATGTGTGACAGCGATTCAAGAATAAAGTTAATAACAGCTGGACCAGGATTTGGTAAAAGCGTGTTTGCCGCTAAAATCTGTAAAGATTTTGAGAAGAATGGAAAGCTGGCTGCTTGCCACTTTTGTGATTTCAGTGATTCAAACCTAAGAGATCCTATGGTGATGCTGCAGTCTCTCGCAAGTCAGATGTGTGAGAAGGTCCCTGGTTTTAAAGAGAAGCTTCTTGATCAGTTGAAGCGACCTCATCAAGTTCAAAATCTGAAAGATGCATTTCGAATATATTTGCAAAATCCCTTAGATGAATTGGCAATAAAAGAGCCACGTTTAGTCGTGATCGATGGCTTGGATGAAAGTGCTGCAGATAATAAGAATGAAATTACGCATTTGATTGCTGAATATTTTCCTGATCTTCCCGAGTACATCAAAATCTTGGTGACGAGCAGGCCAGAGATTTCCGTTGCTGATCTGAGACTAAGAGACAATCAAAAGACGAACATTGCGAATGTTGATGACAACAATAACTCAGATCTTGAACTTTATTTTAAAGAACGTTTTCCAAGTTTAGTCGGCAGGAAAGTGGATAAAAGTGAGATGAGGGATGATTTCTATGAGGATCATCCGTATCTTTACCATTTTGGCGGAAATAAAACTGTTAGTTTACTTTCCATTTTTGTTGCCAAATGCCAGGGCTCATTTCTCTATGCATATCATTTTCAATCTGAGCTAAAGGCTCGCTATGATCTTGAAAAGATAACAAATAATGACGTCATGGAGTTTCTCCCAGAAGGACTGAATTCTGTTTACGAACCATATTTTAAACGCCTTGAAGACGAGCTTAGCGCGATAAAACATGAAAAGTTTGATGTGATGAAAATTTTGGCAATGCTGGCTGCTTCCATAGAATCTCTTCCCCTCACTTTTGTCGCTCAGGCTTTTGGTTTAGCTCCAGATTGTCGCGAAACGAAAGACATCATCAACAAAATTAATGAAACCGTATCGTGTTTGTTGTACGTTTCAGATGACATGTTAACCGTTTTTCACAAATCCGTTATTGATTGGTTTCTAGCTAAATGCTACAAAGATCACCAGTATACTGTCAAGGTCGATGATGGAAATAGATCGCTTTGGCTTTTATGTGAAAAGGTTTTTAAAGAAATTAAAGATAAAGGACTTGAGGTGAAGTTTACTAATGACGTGAAATACGCTCTGAAACATGGTTTAAAACATCTAGAAAAGTCTGAAATGGAGGAAGGTGTGTTTTGGTCAGTTGATTTTATTATCGTATATTATATGATAACTGTAAACAATTCTCGTGAATTGCAGCATTTCTGGCTCACATTACTGAAATGTTCCTGGATTAAAAACGAAGATTTACGCGCCTGCATTTCGTACCATGTCATTGAATTTGACTATTTTCACTTGCGGCTCTTTAACAAATATTCAATAATTTCAACGATTTCACAATGGTATTTACAAGCGGTTCTTACCCGTTCTCCAGAAGGTTATTTGAGCGATGATGAGAGGAAAATGGCGGAGACGCTACTATCAAACCTTTCACCTTTTGTCGCGTCGAATTCCTACGAAGTTTCGGTTTTGCCGCGAGCAGTCTGGATATCCGATGACCTTTATTGTATTACAGCTGTTGCTTTATCTAACGATGAGAAAAGTGTAGCAGTTGGAGTAGATAATTTTATCCATGTGATATCCCTACCAACTTTAGTTGAAATTATGAGTTATTCGACAAAATTGGAAAGAATTCAATGCTGTACATTTTCTCCAGACGATTCGCTCATATTATTTGGTGAACTGGAAACGGCGTTTAACATTGCTGGGGGAAAGGAAGTCCCATTTTTCCCTGGAAATGAAGAGACGTTCCAGTCCTGTGCATTTTCCCCTAACGGCAAAAGACTGGTGACTAACTATGGTTCAAACACCATTAAACTATGGGACGTTGCTAAACAAAAACTCCTGTCGTCGCTTTGTGCTGGATTTCGTGTTCGTTGGTGTTCTTTTAGCATCACAGGGTTATTTATTATTGCAAATTCAGAATCTTCATCTTATTCGGGATATTCGTTTTGTGTTTGGAACGCAATCACATTGCAAAGAAGTGATAAGCGAAAATCATCTCACGGGGATAGGGAGAAACCAGATGTGTTAAAGAGTAGAAAATGTGAACGATGTTTTCAGCGGGGATTTGAGCAATCAAATTTTAAACAGTTAGAAATAAGGTCAATTAATATAAATGGTGGAAAAGGTTGTATAATTTCGTGTCCGTGGATCTGCAAAGGTGTGGAGTGTATTTTTTCTTCGGAAGAATTTTGTTATTCGAGTTACACAGAAAGTATTCCTTTGACTGCGATTGTTGCTTGGAACTATCTTGATGGTCTTCCTCGCTTTTTTTTCCGTGCAATCCAAATACCAACTTTAGAAGATAATCTGTGGCTCTATTCAGATATTGCTAAAATAATTGTCGTTAAGACATTAGCTCCTACACAAGAGCATTCCTGTCTGTCCCGTCCAACGGAAGTTTATTCAAGTTCGTTTTCTCCTGACGGCTCTCGACTTGCATCCTGCAACTCAGATGGATATATCAACGTATGGAATGTCTATACCAGCCAAGTTCAACAACGTTTCAAAAGCAGTCAATGTGGGTTAAAGTTTTTATGCTGGTGGTCGGAAGATTTCTTGTTTGTGATTAGTCAATTTATTGACGAGATTCCCAAATTAACGCGATACCCGGTAGATGAAAATTTAGAGATCGTGTTTACTCACAGTCAGGACGTGGCGCTAGACGACTTGTCTGATTTCAGTCATTCAAAGCCAATTGGTTTTTCTGAAGGCTTTGTCAGCTTGGCTCTCGGAAGCTTCGAACCCGTGAAAGTTCTCGATGTCAGAGATGTTGATGGTCCTGTAATTTTCAATTTGCCTGATATTGAGCCTAAGATGGAAGTGGAAATCTCGCCTGGTGGTGCCTTTATCTCTGGTTGTAATAAGAATAAATGTTATATTTGGAAAAGAAATACCGAATATGAAGTCTTTTATCACGATGTATTTAGCAATGATTCAGTCGCAGTAAGTTTCAGTAATGACTCCAAAGTCGCGGTAGTCATGCACTTTATTGTTAAAAAGAGTCAGATAATTGATCTGGACACTGGTGTATCTCAAAATATAATGTCTGGATTCAATTCTGCTCATTCGGTAACCAGATCATTTTTTATTCACAAGAGAGGAATTGTATTAAATTTATTTGATAACCTGATAATATTTCTTGACATGGACTCTGGCGCGATTCTCGACCATTCCCCTCAACGATACTTGAAGGTTTTTAAGTCAAGCCAAGGAATTAAACTTTCCCCAAAAGAGGACGTGCTGGCTTTTCCTGACCACAAAGGCGATATGGTGTTTCTTCGACTGTCTATTCCAGAAAATCCTTTGTTGGACGATATTAAGCGACGGGCAGTTGCTTTGTTGGACGATATTAAACAACGACTTCCTTTGTTGGACGATATAATTTATTTAGCGAGATTCAGTAGTCAATTCTTTCTTTAACCCGAATAAATTCGTCTCGCGGAAAAGGTTTTTAGGAAAATTTACACAAAGCTGTATATTTTCTTAAATTTTCGGTTCCCCGCAGGTTGTTTATACCCATTAGATGAGAATATCTTTGTTCTTAAAAATAACTGAAGTGAACCCATTCACACCAGAACGAAAACCAATAGGAGAAGACTTTATTTATAAAGGCTTTGTTATGAACGACAGATGTTTTGGAATTGATTTTTCGGGCAGGATATTTCATAATGGATTTAGTGAACAATAGCATGAAGAACTATCATTTCTTAATGTTTCGGGCAACGGCTAGACTTTGCTTGGAGCTGGTCTAGAATGGAGAAGTAAGACACCTCCTTTCCTCCGTTTGTCTGGGAGTTCACCTTGGGCAAGTGATAGCACTCCCTTGCCTCCCTAACTGGGGTTACAGTTTATTAAACAAAACAAAAATGATATTTTGAATACATCTGAAAGAAACAAGTCTTTAAACATTGTCACTGATGCCAATGGTGTTGTTCTAGATGTTCATTATAGTAGGGCTGATTGCAGTCATGTTTGTGGTTATAGTTCTCATCTATGATGTTGGTGATGGTGGCTGGTCTATACGATGGTGGTGATGGTAATTGCGCTGGTTATGAAATAATGGTAGAAATTATAGTAATTAATAGTAACTGTATTATGGTCAAAACGTCTGATGCTGATGAAAAAGAAAGTTATCGGAACTACAAGAACTATGTAAATTATCGGGACATTTTATTAGCTGCACGGAAAGGAAGATATTTAAAGTCTGAAGGGGGAACTGGAAAATTGTAAAAACTTGCGTGAAATTTGAATAATATTATGTTCAAAACAAAATATTATGTTCGAAACATATCTTTAATGAAAAATATCTTTAATCATTATCTTTAATGCGTTCGACATTGTGAAGTTAGAAATCCTACAGATGATCAGTATCATAATTTCATGTACTCAAGCTTAGATTTTTATTTAACACTATAGGTAGCTTATTTGTAAACAAATTAACATCAAGTGGTAAAATAGGATTTTATGACTTCGAACGTGCCTGGTCCACACAAGTACACATGACAAGAATACTGCTGAATATTTAAATATTTGCCTACTGCCAGCATGTAATTTGTATAGATTCCTAATTTTGTAATCTATTTCATGATTTCACTCTGTTGTTGAAATTCTTATTTCGGTGTTTGTCTTACATCCCTAAAGTTTTCTCGTGTAATATCAAATTGCAGGTACCAGGGTGGTTAAAAACTAATGGGACGACTATGTTTTGCTACGTTAAATGTACATTGCTCTAGACAGTTTTTCAGATTGTGGGGCAGGGAATATATTCATAAATTATATTCGTCTTATGCCCGGCTTCTTCTGTACACTATTCTTCTTAAGGTTTATAAACATGAATATATCAATATACACCCCTCCTCCCAAATTAAGAGGTCTAGCTGCGGCTCTGACTGTACCCAGGGTCGTAGTTAGAAGTTTAATTGGAGGGTGATGTATTTAGCAAACAGATATCATTGAACCGTCGTGTGTTCAGTTATGGATGCACGGTATGACGTCATTTGTGATAAGAACGAAAGAGTGGCCACGACCATTGAGCTATACTATAATTCCTGGAGGACGTGCTCTTGGCCAGAAAGTGAAGTAAGAAAGATGTCGGATTTTGAGCTTTGCCGACGCCACTTGCTTCCTTTGCTCATGGCAGTTTCCACCGACATACCTCGATACAAAGTGAAAAGTTGGTCCGTCCCCCTCCTAGATTCGATGAAAATATTTTTTCGAAAATATTTTTTCGAGAATATTTTTCGCATCACATTTTTGGGTTTTTTTTCTTCTGTTCAAAAAATTGAACGAGGAAGTGGCTTCTTGCTCAACCTGTACTAGAAAAATATCAGACCGAGGTCTTGACAGTACGGAACGAACGATAGCGAGGTCCGTACATAAAAAACGAGGTCTGATGTTTTTCCAGTACGAACAGAACGTATTCGGTTAATAAGGGATTTATTATATCGCATACAGTATTTAGTTTATTTATTTATAGAATGCGCTGCAGTATTCTTGCCGGCTCTTTCGCTAGCCAGTCGCCAAGCAAACACTGAAATGGTTTCGAAAACTTTGTTTTTTACTCGTTAAATAAGAATAATACAGTAATATACTGTAAACAAAAATCAAAGATGAATAAATATAAGTCCTCCAGGATTTTAATATAGCTCAGTGGTCACTTTATGTTCTCATCCTTAAAGAAATGCTCTTGGATAGTTAAAGACCTGTGCTAAAATGTGATTGGCTGACAAAATAAACAAGCGATGACTCGTTAAGTTTGTTACAGTACAATTCTGTTACAATTCTCTCAGGCTGTTTACAAACCTCTTCCCTTCATTCCTATAGGGTAATTATTACTCGACTGACTGGAGTCCTGTTTCACAAACGACAAATAATGCAGGTATATACTTCTACAATGACTATACCACAGAAAAAAGTCATTCTCTCATGGAGAAAATGTATCTTATCTTGAGAACTTTTTTCTTATGCCAAGGAAAATTTTCTTATACAAAGAAGTTTTTTCAAACTCTAGGATATAAAATCTCGTTTAGAAAGTAATTTCTTAAAATAAGAAATTATTCAGCCAACGGATTTACAGATTTTGACACAAGAAATTTTGTTCTTATAATTGGAAATATTTTTCTTCAACGGAGTAAATTATTTCTTGATATAAGAAAGATTATCTTAATCTCGGATATTCTCAATATGAGAAAATTAATATTAAAAATCCCAAATAGTTTTTAAAATAGAAAAACTCCTCTTACCTATATTTGTTTTAAGACAAAAATTTCTTGGAATAAGGAGATAAAAAGGGATAAATTGGGTATAGTAAGGAATCACCATACAAGAGATTTTTTATTCTTTACTATGAAAAAATAATGATCGCCACCTTAACAAATTACATTTGGCTAAGTCCTATATGTACAAACCATTTCTACAATATAGAAGTTCTTTGGAAACAGATTTCATCACAAGAAAATTGTATCGCTTTTTGCCATTCAATATAGGTTGGCCTGGTAATTGCATTAAAATCACCACCTTTAAAATCCATGTATAATGCTATTTGACATACTAAAAGTAAGGCTTGCAATGTAAAAGCCAGATTTTGATTTTTGTATCTTGTGCCTTGTATGTCCCGAATACACAAGGGAGAAATTGCGTTGTTCTGGAATAAATAATCAAATATACACATTGAAAATATTGACCTTTATAGACAAATGAATCTCATATTATGCTTGTTTCCAAATACTTAGAGTATCATAGTGAGTATAGTGTTTGTACATACATACATACATTGTTCGTCTGTACAAACGACGTACATACATGTATTGTTCGTTTTACATGACAAGTTTGGTAAGAAAATAATTTGTGTCATACTTGACAGAAATGTAGCAATGACGACATTTGTGAAATAAAAATCCAAAGCACATAAAACAACCTTGCCAAAGACTCCCTGTTCTTTTCCACAAGCTGGAAACAAGTATATAGCGAGTTCTTGGGATGAGGTTTTATCCTGACCTGTTCACTTGGACAAAAATGATGCGAATTTCTAGCTTCATAATGCTCTTTTTAACATGATTGTAAAACGAATGATACCTTCTAAGCGTCGCAGGGAAATCGTCGATTCCACAGCGGACAGAAAAGCTTACGTCGCTGCCATGTAGTAATGATTCATAAGAACACGAAGAGTTAATGCTACGAAAACAGTGCACAACAAACATTTCCAAACAGTATTTAATGCCCCTTGACTGTCCATTTTTAATTTAGCACAAAACAAAACGATTTTTATGTTTTTATATTACCAAGGAAGAGAGATGAGAATTAAGATAGAGTAAGTAAAATATCTATTATTTATCTTCTATTAGTATTATTGACAAACGACAAATCTTTCCGGTATATCCTCAACATTGGCTACAAAGCGTAAATTAATTTTTTATGCAGAAGATTATCTTATTTTTAAATAAATAATAATAATAATAATAATGATATTATAAAAATTTTTTTCTTATACAAAGAAATTTTTTCTAACTCTCGGATGTAAAATCTCGTATACAGGGCCCACATATTTTGATGGAATAAATTTTAACCTAAATTAACGACAAATCATCCAGATATCTGCCTCTACATATACCATATTGGCAAAAATATTTTACCAAAGGTGTTTAAACAGCTGCATGTTCTGTCGATAAAAAGTCGCCAACTAGTGCTTGTCTTCTCGGGCCTGCAGTATAAAAGAAATAGGTAAGAAATGCAAACAATCGAATACAAATAAATTTAGAGAGTTCCTCTTCCGCTTCAAAATCAGGCTTGAACCTCGCCCAATCTTTATGAATAATTATTTTCATTTTGAATATAGCAATATTGATTCAGTTTTATATATAGATCCAGAAACAAAATATTACGCTGGCAGCAATAACGACAGCAAAAGTGAAGGAATTTTAACGAATGGAGATAAGTAGAACAAATAACTTATTTGATTCAATCTTTAGTGTATGATTGTTCAGATAACAATAATTTAATCTTGTACTAAAACTTTCAACCTCCCTCGGTGCGTAAATCCCGGACACACCTGTTACACATATCATTTTAGTCACTCAGTTCAGTAGATTAAATAATAATATTTTATGAAATTACAACTCTTTTATACATTTCTACTACCTGAGCCCGCATTACCCATTATGATTAATACTTCTTGTTACATCCCTTCTTCTTTAAAATAAAGATAGAATATTATACAATTTTTTTCCCGTTTTTTCCCAGTTGGTAATTGTTTTTTTTTAATATTTCCTTTGCAGTTGTAGTCTTGAAATTTCTACATCAAATATAACTTCTCGATAGCTTTAATTTGACACACAGCCCAACGTCTGGCATCAAGTATTTCGTCTCAAAACTCAGAAAAACTATTTTGTCTGCTGAATAGGTATATTTGTCAGGATTTATCGTTCCAGTTGTATAGAGTTCACTGGGTAGAACTGAATATATGAATAAACACCACCTTAATTATCGTTCTAGTTATGCCCCTGATAAAACTACAAGAACTATGTACATTACAGAGAACGTTCGTTTTTTATTTGGGAAGGAAGATATTTGTAGTCTGAACCAGGAATAAATTTTCCGAGTGGAAACCCAGCTGATGTGAATATTTTTTTATGAGAATAAGATATCTGTATAAGGCATACGAATGGGAGAGCTTTTTTTTGTTAACTAATAAAACGTGGTGTATTTAATAAACGAACACACAACTATATTGATCTGCAAGCAAACTAATATCAAGTGTTAAAATAGGATATTATGACTTAGAAAGTGTCTGGTGCACACAAGTACATATCTGCTTGATATTTAATCATAGATGCTGTTGCCAGCATTTATTGTAATTTGTATAGATTTGTAATCATTTGTAAACCGTTAACCATTTTATTACATATTTCACTCAGTTTTTGAATTTTCTAATTTTCTATATCTGTGGTTGTTAACGTTCTTATATTACGCGCAGTCAATGAGTGTAAAAGTTTTCTGGTGTGATATCACCTGGAGGTAATTACACCAAGAACCAGGGTTGCCAGATTGGTTGACCAAATTAGCTGAAACCTTATTTCAGTCTCTATGACTTGAATTCCTGCATTTTGGGCTTGCTGAGGAGTTCTTTCCGCTGGAAGGAGTTTGTCAGAATATAATTTCTATCTCCTGAACAATGCGTTTATTTCTTATTGAATGTCGTCACTTCATTATTATTAACCGCTGAGTTTAGCTCCATGGATGGATTACCATTACTATAACACATGCAAGGTAAATTTGTTTTCTGAAAGACAGAACGTGTAGTTTCATCTGTCGCTTCGATAAGCGTCGTTTTCATATGTCACCGACAGTCGGCGATGATAGGTGGTGGCTGGTGACGAATTTTGTTTAAAATAAGAAAGCCCTTTATTCTGCTGCATTCACCAACAATAAACATCGACCTGGCTTATAAACCTGGCCTTCTTCTTAACCACCGACAGTCGGCGATGATAGGTGTTGGCTGGTGACGAATTTTGTTTAAAATAAGAAAGCCCTTTATTCTCCTGCATTCACCAACAATAAACATCGACCTGGCTTATAAACCTGGCCTTCTTCTTAACCACCGACAGTTGGCGATGTATTGTTGATAACCAATGATCAAGAAAATTTATGGAAAATAACACAGCACTTTATCCTCCAGTGATCTCTGGCAATATCCTTCGCCATTTGTCGATGACTTATGAAAACCAGGCTTCAAGCCTAGTTCACTGGTTCTCGTATGTCACCGATAGTCCGCCATATATCTTTATTGGTGGCCATGACCATGCAGTAAGTGAAGCCTCGTTTACACGACAAGCATTTTTGGCCAGGCACACTTAATTCTTTGCACGCTGGCAGAAAATGGCACGGCACTTTTAAATTTTGTCCTGTAAACAGACATAATATAAGTCTACAGACTAGTAATTTTATCCGTGCGGAGACAGTTTAAAAGATGTTCTCGACCTGTCAAAGCATGGAGACCGTGCCGAAAATATTGAGTTGCATCAGCAATTTTGAATCGGATTTGAGCGAAGGTAAGCCTCGAATGTTCTTTCAATTCATAAGCAATTTTTTATTGTTGATCATGCGGAGATTAAATAATAACTGCAAAATGGTAGGAAAGAACAGCAGGAAAAGCTCTGGTGGGATATGAAAACTAATGCTTTAATAGAAGCCTAAGGCACTGAAGTCATTCAACACGTTATAAAATGCAAAATACCTACACTATAACACGAAGTAAAATATCCGTTTTTTGTTCGAAGGATAAATTTTTTAGAAGGCCTTTATGGCATGATTACCAGATGATCTAACAAGTTGTCTTTATTTCCTTTATTTTGTCAAGTAAACCATGTTCATTTGCTTCTATTGATGCATGTCAGCTTTGTTAATCTGCTGCCTTATATAGCAACCGCGGTGTGGTCATGGGCCCTAAAAATATTCAATTGGGTGTTTTGTAAAATTTTGTGGTATTCAGGCCTAAAAAGAAAAATAACGCGTGAACAGGCTTAGTTACGGCGCCAATTTCTTTTGGCCTGCCTTGAAAAAATTAAGCGTGCCGTACCAAAAATTTTTGTTCTATAAACGGGGCTACTGCCCATTTATGTTTCTGGGACTAAACAAATAGCTTTGGAACAGCACATTTAGTGTAGATCTGCACGGTAGAAAATCTCTGCAGCGTCACTTCCATACGAGGAGGATCCTAGTTTTCATTTAGGAAGATCTCGCCCACACAAAACAAAATCAGTGATAAGGAATATTTACAATGAAAATTAGACAATAACACAATTAGAAAGGTTCTACAGAGTGTTTTAGAAAACTGCAACTGGCGTAATTTATCACTAATTGATCCAAAGGGTGGGTGAACACAAGCCATGCTTGGATATTCCGTAATTGAACTTTGTGTGGTTATTCTAATGTCAAAAACGTCAAATATTAGAAACATAATTAATCGCACGGATATTGAAATGCCCTCTGCAATATCAACTTATGCAAATTATAGTGTTTTTGATACACCCTGTATGCATGACTTGAGTTCATAAAATAACCAGCAGGATATAATCTCAGTGTTTGGTGTATTCTTGTTCGCTAGGTTTGTGTACATTTCTTAGCGTCTATTTGGTTTATTTCTGACTTAAATCACGTTGGACTATGGCGACGTAGTTGCATTATCGGTTCCAATAATTGATAAACGTACGTTCTTGTCTCTTTCTTGACAATTATAAATAATTTTTCTTCGCCATCAGCGAAGTATGCTAGACACGACACAGCGCTCTGGCGTCATGTTAAAACGTTTAGCAAAATTTTGAATAAAATTTAAAATCTTGCCCCGAAATATCCTATATTCGTCTTACTATAGTATATCATGTTGGTTTTCAATAATTAACCGATTGGCTTCAGCAAATTTGATAGTAAAAGCAAATTGCTGTTAAGGCTTTGAGATGAGGTCATAGCGTGTCATTTATGGTAATACTTGGCACCAAGATATAAATATATTTGTTTTATCACAGGACCATATCAACCATCAAGTTTCCTGTTCATATGTCACTAGTTTTAAATCTGTTTATTCCACTGTCAATTTAACTCCTTTCCTTCCTCAGAGGCTTTCAAAACTAAGAATTTACAGTCTGTTGTCTACATCACAAGAACAAAGCTGTCTGAAAGATTTGAAACTGATAAAGAAGAAGAAACTAGGTAAGGTGGATTAGTTTGACATAAGTTTTGAAACTTTAACATGACTAAAGCGCATCTGTGCTTTCTTAATCTGCTGACTTATATAGCAACTGCGGTGTGGTTATGGGCGCCAAAAATATTCTATTGGGTTATTCAGGCCAAAAATGAAAAATAACCGTAAACAGGCTGAGTTACGGCGCCAATGTCTTTTGGCCTGCCTTGAAAAAATTGAGTGTGCCGTACAAAAATATTTGTTCTATAAACGGGGCTAAGTAAATGGAGTTTCTCTGCATGTGTTCTTGCCTTGGTCCGCTACTGATTTTATGATATTGATTAAAATTCACATATAGGCTTTTTTGACTAATCCTGTATTCAATTGGTAACTGAACATTTATGTTTCTGGGACTAAACAAATACCTTTGGAACAGCACATTTAGTGTAGATCTGCACGGTAGAAAATCTCTGGTCACTTCCATACGAGGAGGATCCTTGCTTTCAATTAGGAAGATCTCGCCCACACAAGACAAAATCAGTAATAAGGAATATTAACAAAGAAAATTAGACAATAACACAATTAGACTGGTTCTACAGTATACAGGGTGTCCCAAAAAACCCGAAAACTATTGAAATCACTCATTGTTAAAATTTGAATGTTGTGTTCACGAATTTCAGCCCGTGGGGATTTAATGCAACTTATAAAATGCTAAATACTTTGTGTTGCTAGAGAAAGGGGACATGTCGAAGGTCATGGTCCTTGAGATGCACATTTAAATAATGTTATCCATATTTGTAAATTGTAAATATTGTTAATGAATATCAGTTTTGCGAACAAGTAAATTTGACTGCATCATTTGTATGCATATAAAAATGCTTATGGCAACCCCGATTTATACACTTGTGGGCCCAACAGAGTGCTTAGGCATTCAAACTCTAACAATGGCATTGTTATGGGTGATTTCAATAGTTTTCGTTTTTTTTGGGACACCCTGTAGAGTGTTTTAGAAAACTGCAACTGGCGTAATTTATCACTAATTGATCCAAAGGGTGCGTGAACACAATTCATGCTTGGATATTCCGTAATTGAACTTTGTGTGGTTATTCTAATGTCAAATACGTCAAATATCAGGAGCATAATTTGTCGCATGCATGGATATTGAAATGCTCTCTGCGATATCAAGCGATATCAACTTATGCAAATTATAGTGTTTTGTCATACACCCTGTATGCATGACTTGAGTTCATTAAATAACCAGCAGGATACCATCAGAGTGTTTGGTGTATTCTTGTTCGCTAGGTTTGTGTTCATTTCTTAGCGTCTATTTGGTTTATTTCTCACTTAAATCTCGCTGAATTATGGCAACGTAGTTGGGTTATGGGCTCCAAGAATTGATAAAGGTACGTTCTTGTTTCTTTCTTGAAGATTATAAATCATTTTACTTCGTCAACAGCGAAGTATGCTAAACACGACACAGCGTTGTGGCGTCATGTTAAAACGTTTAGCAAAACCTTGAATAAATTCTAAATCTTGCTCCTAAATATCCTATATTCGTCTTACTATAGCATATCATGTTGCTTGTCAACAATTAACCGATTGGCTTCAGCAAATTTGTCTTTTATAACTGTAGTAAAAGTGAAGTAAAGTTAAGGCTGTGAGATTAGATCATAGCGTGACTTTTATGGTAGAAATTGACACATTTATATTTGTTTTATCTGACGAAAACTGGCATATGAAGTCGAATTTCATGTCTCAACCATCGTCCTGTTTTATAAGCCTCTAGTTTCAAATCTGTTTATTCCATTGTCAAATTAACTCCTTTCCTTCCTCAGAGGCTTTCGACCAAGAATTTATAGTCTGTTTATATCACAAGAACAAAGCAATCTCTATTGAAATTACCATTCATCTCATCTTGTGCATTGTTGGTCTTCAAAACAATGTCATAAATTATTAGTTAGTTATTGAAATCCAGATCACATAAAAATTAGTTTAAGTTTTATAAAAGCGTAAGGTAACTTCACGGCGTTAATAAGGCTTGATCTCCACAAGCAGAAAAGTGGTTGCTTACGCTAGCGAAATATTTGCATATTTTCTTTTGAAATAAGAGCAGTCAAGCTGAACCAATTTATTTATTGTGTTAAAATTGAAGAGAAAATATGTAAATACTTCGCTAGCGAACGGTTAAAAACTGACTGAAATGTTAAAGTACTTTGACGTGGCATTAATGTTTAACCTAAGCGTTAGTTTAGTTTTTCCAGCTCTCAATATATATCTCAAAGTTCTCGACACAAGATGAAATGAGTAATACGAAGTAATCAAGCGCATTAGACCGATAAAAATGCATTTAACACAACGCGGATATTTTACAACATTGAGTTGAACAAAAAACCAGCAGGATACCATCAGAGTGTTTGTTTTATTCTTGTCTGCTGGATTTCTGAACATTTCTTAGCGTTTATTATTTTATTTGTGGCCTAAATCTGTGGAATTATGTCTACGTCGTGAATTTCATAGGTACGTTTTTGTTTCTTGAAGATTGTAAATCATTTTACTTCGTCAACAGCGAAGTATTTAAGGCCAGGCACAGCACTGTGACGTCATATTAAAACGTTTAGCGAAACCTTCAATAATATCGTAAATTTCGTTCCTAATATCCTTTACTCGTCTTAATACTGACAATAATATGCTGATATCTGTAATAAATTATTAATATTGACATATGAGGGCGGTGTAATTACGTCATGGGGCGACTTTTCTATTAGATAAGACACATTTATCTTTCTTTTGTTAATTTTGTTTCATCTGTCGAAAACTGGCGCTTTCTATGATTGGAACTTCATGTGCTACCCATTATTCTTTATTTTCATGCTGAGCAACTAGTTACCTATACAAGTCTCAGTTTAAGTTAACCAACTATCAAATTGTTCCTTTCCTTCTGCAGAGGCGCGTTCAACCAAGAAATTATAGTCTATTTATATCACAATAACAAGCCTTTGAAAAGCCTAAAAAAGCTAAAAGTATATATCTGCTTTGAAATGAATATAGGCTTTTCAAAGAAATCCTACAAATTGGATGCAATAAAACGACTCGATTGACAACTATGCACACGAAGTGGGCTTCAGGTCGACAAATTAAATAACCACGGCACAGCGCTCTAGCGTCGTATTAAAAGCTTCAAAACAGCTTTGTTTGATATCTTAAGTTTTCTCATCTCATGCATTGTAGGTTTCTAAAGCCACTTATTAACTTGCTGGACAATTACTAACCAGACCATCGTGTTTAACAAATAGGCTGTGAAGTAACTTTATCTTAAGCTGTGTGGAATTAGTAATTATGTCATGATTTGTTTTCTTTTAAAAATATGAACTTTTATCATGTGAAAACCAAGTCGAAGGTAGGAAATGTTAAAGACTGTTGATATTTAAAGAGATGATGTAATATGTAAGATGAAATAATTGATACAAAACTTCATATATCGCTAGTCCAACACGAGATGTATTTACAAAGAGCAGTAAACAACGCAACTCGCATCCCTCTTCCCTGGCTGAAATTAATAAAGCTACTGAGACATACCCATTGCAAGCTTTATAAATAACCAGCAGGATCGATAGAATAAAGTGATTTTTGTTTTCTATCCGCATCGTTTGTGTACTGTTTCTGACTAAATTGTGTAGAATATAGACGCTGTAGCTGACTTGTTGCTTTAAGATTCAAAAATTACGTTTCGGTCACTTTTAAAGATTATAAATTGTTGTCCCGGCACAGTGCTAAATCATTCTGTTAAGACATTTAGCAATTAAGTTCATGTGAGTTTATCATATGGTTGTATTTGAAAAGAATGATCAAATTAGAAAAATACGTCAGACTAAAGATTAGAAAAATCGTGATCAATTCAGTAAATGAATTTGGATTTCATCGCCTACAACAGAGAGTGAAAAAGCAGAAATTAAAAGAGGAGTGCCGTAAGTAAGAATTGCATCTCACTAGAAGATTTGCCTGAGAAAAAGAGAAAGTTTCGTGTTCGTACGTTTTACAAATAGAACTGATCGTGTGACCCTGGCATCTTAGCAGTAACAACACGCCTGTTCTGGCGTTAGCTCCGGCGCACGTGCCAGTCTTTAATATAGAGCATATTCGCATTTAGATGCCTTACAAAGCTAAATGTTCGATCGCGAAATTCAGCAGCACATCGTACTTTAAAAAGTATAGAAGTTCAATTGTTCGAAAATGTAAACAAACCGCATGATACATTCGCTTTGTCTCACAATTAGCCTTTGGAATTCGCGCTTATATATTATATCTTCAATCCTGTGCAAACTACGACGTGTCAACGCGCCCATACACGACCACATCATCTTGTTAAACGGCGAAATAGCAGCGATGTTATTAAAATAGGACCAGAATCTACATGTATTAAATATATTCTTACTCCACTTCAATCTAAACTTAATCGAAGAGCATGAAAACAACGGTTTATTTGTTCCTCTTGAAGGAATTGCCGTATCATGCGAGCGAAATCGAATTGCGCATCGGAAAATTAGCCAAAGCTGTGCACCACAACTCTTAGGAGATAAGACTGGGACGTAGTTAAATACAGTCACATACACACTTTAATTACTAGAATGTTTCCCGCCATTTCAGACTTGCGACGACGAAAAATAAAAAAAAAACCAAAAAAAAAACAGCAACAAAACAAAACCGGGGCGAATTTTCAACTCCGTCGCTGACGCCGGAGTAACAAGGTCATATATGACCAGGCTTTAGCAAATCTAAATGCGATTATAAGTGTATAACTGTAATTTAAGCAATAGTTATCACACTATAAAGCACGAAACCTCGACATAGTCCAATATAATTTGTATATTGATCATAAGAATAATTACTTTTACATATTTTCATATTATGTTTTAAACAGATCTAGAATTCTTGGATTAATCCAATTTTAATACATCTTTTAACAAGCGTATGGTCCATATATAACAACATATCATACAGAATGTCATAAAATATTATAAACGCTACCTCATCCCTTTCTTTTTCTCGGTATAACCTATATAATTAGTACAACCATTTTGTTACAGCAATTAACCCTGTCCTATGCCATGGCTTCTGACGAACTGCAAGAAAAAGCAAATTTTACAAGACTTAGTAGACTTTTAGTTGACAAAGCAACTGAGGCTTTGAGAAATACATTTGATACCATCCATTCACCTGTTAGTCTACCCAGAGTACTAGCTGCGAAAAAAACATCTCTTCAAAGGTTAAAACCTCGAGTTATTAATAATTCCCAGTGGGATTTACTGTTTCCTTCGTCTGGCAATCCACCAGATTCCAAAACCTTTGATATCACATTACTTACAGTTCTATTCCGGAACATTTGTGGTTTTCCATCAACAGGATGGGGCGTAATACCTCCGGATACTGATAGATCACAGCAAGCGAATATCACAAGAATCAAGTGTTACAGAAATGAAGTTATTGCACATGTAACATCCACTCGAGTTGACAATTCGAAATTTCACTCTTTATGGAAGAAAATTTCCCAGGCGATAGTAGAATTGGGCGTTTCACAGAGTGATGTCGATGATTTAGAAAAATGTCCTCTTGGGCCTGAAGAAGAAGTGTATGTCCAAAAGCTTAAAGATTGGAAACTGCACGAAGATGAATGTATTAAAATGCTTGCAACAATGACACAAATCGTTGAAGAAACCCGCGATAGAGTAAATCTACTGTGCCAGTCTTTGTTGAAGAAAAATGAGAATGAGATCCCGCTAACTTCCCTCAAGCTTACGCTATCAATACCCGAGGATGCCTGTAGATTTCAAACCGGAACTGTCATAACTTAGTTTAATGTTATGTTAATTAGTTATGTTAATTCGGGGTATAAATAGTTGTTCAGTATCACTTTGATCATACGATACAAAGTTCAAGCTATAGTCTCTACAATTCAAGAAGCGAACGATTTTCTACCGGACAGGCAAATTAATCTGTAAGTTTCATGTATGTATTCGTATGGTTTACTTGTTCGTATTCGTATTCATTTGGTTGTATTCGTACCGTACTAATCTTTGTAAATATTTGTTTAGTTGAACCGCTACATGATTAAAATTCTACGAGTTCAAAGTACACGTCTGGTTAAGACTGAGTCTAACATTGTTCAAAGATTAACTAAAACTTTATATCTATCAATTTGGAACCGTCGATTGACAAATTATGCTATCACAGAGCGAAGGATCGCCTAACCAAGAAACAACTAGTTTTGTCGAAGAATCAAGCGAATTTCGGCGATTGAGGCGTTGCCGCTCGGCTGCAAAGGCGAACATAACAAAGAAGATTAAAGAGCTCACTGAATTGATAGGTAATTGTCAAATTAAGACGACGCTTTAGCGAAGATAAAGGAATTTGAAGACGTGGCAAGTAAATTCTACACAGCTCATGCCAATTATCATGACATAATTGGCGACGAGTATGATATCCGAGACTCCGAAGAGTATTTGCAAACAGAAACAAGGCGAATCGAGAATTTTCACGAACTCTGAGCGAGTGGATTTCGAGTTTTGAAGACGAAGTATCAAAGGCGGATCAAGAAGTTAGACCGGGTGATTCAATAAGCAATATTGGACCCTCGCACCGCGATAAAACACGTTCGCTAGCTAGCTCACGTTCGAGAACAGGTTCGTCTACCCTGAGCGCCAGACTAGCGGCAAGAGCGAAGAAGGCCTCATTGGAAGCAGAAAAGGCAGAACTAGCTAAACAACAAGCTCTACAAAAGGAAGAGCTTCTTTTCAGACAAAAACAACGCCAACAAGAGGAAGAGAAGTTACGATTGGAACAAAGAAAATATGAACTGAAGCTCGACACAGAATTAGCAAAGCTGAAGCAGAAGAAAGAGTATATGCTGAAGCACTTCATAGCGAAAATCAACCTATGGCAACACAATTTACACCCACAATGGCGAAGCAAGCCGGAGTGAAGCTAGAGAATAAATACGCTCTCGTCAACAAGCCAAATCAATGCCTAATTCCACACCTTGGTTAAAGTCTACGGAGCAAGCCTTCAACTCTGAGAAAAGAATACAGCCGACTAGAAAGATGTTGCTACTACAAACCAAGGCCAAACAGAGAAGGGTGATACAGATTCGGACGTAGCAGAGGAATTCTTATACAACGTCGCAGAGATACAGCGACAACAAACAGCAACAAATGCATCAGATGTTCGACATGCAACAGTCACGAGACCAGCAATTACATCGGTTACTCGATCAGCACCAAAGGTCGACCTTGGCTATGACCCTGCCTAACGTTCAGGTTCCAACCTTTGCTGGAAATCCAATCGAGTATTGTCACTTTGTACGATCTTTCGAGAACCTGATCGAAGCAAAGACAACAAGCGCCAGTGCAAGACTATTCTATATGGTCCAATATACGAAAGGTGAGGTGCAAGAGCTTGTTCGAAGTTGCTTAACTATGGATCCAGAAGAAGGATATCTTAAGGCAAAGAAGCTTCTGAAAGACAACTACGGACAAAACTACAAGATTGCGGCTGCATACGTGGACCGGATCACCCAAGCATCGCCAATTAAAGCAGAAGATGGCGTAGGCTTACAGAAGTACTCCGTGCTACTGGCTAGTTGCAGAAATACCTTGAAGGAGATCGGATACATTAGCAGAGTGGAAAATCCTGAAAGTTTGGTTAAACTAATTGGGAAGCTACCCTTTTTCTGAGACAGAGATGGCGAGAAGTTGCCGATAACATCACTACCCAGAAATCAAGAGAGATAACCTTTGATGATGTTGTTGAGTTTGTTCAAGCAGGTCGAGAGTTCAGAACCACCCAATCTTCGGAAAATTGAACAACGACTCACGAAGTAGACCAAGTGAACCTTTAGGTTCTAGGGGCAGACTGAACTTTCAAATTGATGGTAAGCTAGGTGATGAAGGAAAAAAGGAATCAAAACCCTACAAATGTTCCATGTGTAATGGAGACCATATTCTGCCACGATGTATTCATTTTAAGAAAGAGTCCCTAGTGGTCGTCTTAAGTTTGTTCGCAAAAGAGGACTATGTGACAACTGCTTGTTTCAAGGACATGTCGCAAAGTCCTGTCCAAAGCCCAGTTTCTGCAAGGTAGCCGGCTGTCAGTTCAAGCACTCAACATATCTGCATCCAAGAAGCGGAGACAGCGGTGTGGACAAGTCGTGTGGTCCTGATAGCCCAAATGAATCAACTGATCGATCAGGTGATGAAGGATGCGCCAACAATGGAGCGCGAAATGGTTGCGTTAGTGCTACCCAAACTGAATGTGGTGTCATCGGGGCCGGCGTCTCTACAACAGGGCTACCATTGGTCCCTGTGAAAGTGAAATGTGCTGGCTCGTTTCGAGTGGTGCTGACATATGCGTTCCTTGATCCTGGTTCTAACACGACATTCTGTTCAAATGAACTGTTGGAGCAACTTGGCATCACAGGAAAGAAAACAACATTATCTTTGACAACCCTACAGAACGTACAGCAGACGACCAGATGTAGTGTGACCAGTTTGGAAGTTTGGGATTTAAACGAAGAGAACTTAGTGGAACTTCCTACTGTTTTCTCGACCGAACGGTTACCTGTCGATAGATCTAGCATTCCGCTTCAAAAGGATGTTGACAGATGGCCTCATCTCAGAAACGTAAACGTACAGGAAATCGATGCCGCCGTTGGCTTACTAATCGGGAATGATGTACCAAAGGCATTGGAACCGAAGGAAGTCAGAGAGAGCAGTGGCGCAGGACCGTACGCCGTGAGAACAGTTTTCGGTTGGACGATAAATGGCCCGCTTGGAAGAAATAAAACGGCTCGTCGTTGCGCGAACTTCATTCGATCTGATCATGACCTAAATGAACAGTTTCAAACGTTCTGCAATATGGAGTTCAACGACTCTGTATATGACACAAAACTGGAGATGTCGGTAGAGGATTCTCGTGCTCTTGGCATGATGGAAGGCTCGGTTCAGCTAAAGGACGGACACTATGAAGTGGCTTTACCATGGAAAAATTTCCCGCCACGTCTGCCAAACAATCGTCCATTAGCGGAACATCGCCTGAACCTTTTAAAGAAGAGGCTTCTCAAAGATCCTCAACTGCTTTCAAAGTATTCAGAATTCATGGATAACATGCTAAGCAGGAAGTATGCTCGCAAGGTCCCTGAGAGTTCGATAACCCAACCTAAGTTACCTTTATGGTACTTACCCCACCATCCCGTAATCAATTCAAATAAGCCCAGCAAAATTCGCGTGGTTTTCGATTGTGCAGCAGTTTTCCGCGGGACGTCACTCAATAGTCAACTATTACAAGGTCCAGATCTAACAAACAGTCTTGTTGGAGTTTTAATTCGCTTCCGAACGGATCCTGTGGCCTTGATGGCGGATATAGAGGCTATGTTCCACCAAGTCCGCGTTACACCAAGCGACTATGACGCATTACGATTCCTCTGGTGGCACCAAAATGATCTTGATAAAAACCCCAAGAATTCCAGATGATGGTTCACCTTTTCGGCGCAACGTCCTCCCCGAGTTGTGCGAATTTTGCACTCCGAAGAACCGCCGAAGACAACTCAGACGACTTTGGTGCTGAGATATCAGATATAGTAAAACGGAACTTCTATGTGGACGACTGTTTAAAGTCTGTTAAAGATGACGAAGTGGGCATCAAAACGGTGAGCTGTTTGACCCAGTTGCTAGCCCGGGGAGGATTCCACTTGACGAAATGGGTTTCAAATTCAGCAAGAGTGATTGCGTCGGTGCCTGAAGATGAAAGATCTGGATCTGTAAAGGCTTTGTGTTTTGGCCAACCAACGGTTGAACGAGCACTAGGAGTTAAATGGGATGTCGCGAGCGATCAGTTTGGATTCAAAGTAATCATCAATGAGAAGCCATCAACTCGAAGAGGGATACTTTCAGTAATCAGTTCAGTCTATGACCCTCTTGGGTTCGCAGCCCCATTTATTCTTCCCGTGAAGATATTGATGCAACATCTGTGTCGACGAAAGTTGGGATGGGATGACCTAATTGAGCCCGACGATATGGCACGCTGGAACACTTGGTTGAAGGAATTGCCAAAGATCGAACAGCTTCGCGTCCCAAGATGTATCAAATCCTACTACGTCAATCCAATAGTTCAGACGCAGTTACACAGTTTCGCAGACGCTTCGCGACGTGGATATGGGGCAGCGAGTTATTTGCGCTTTGAAGATTCGAAAGGTAACATCCACTGTTCGTTCGTGATGGCTAAGTCAAGAGTGGCTCCTCTAAAGGAAACAACCATTCCACGACTGGAATTATCCGCTGCTGTGGTTGCGACAAGACTCGACAAGATGATACGAAACGAAATCGATATTGAAATCCATGCCTCCATCTTTTGGACAGACAGCACCTGTGTTCTGGGGTATCTGAATAACACAAGCAAGAGATTCCAGACATTTGTTGCGAACAGAGTTGCCACCATTCATGAAACAACCACGCCTGAGCAATGGAGACACGTGACCAGTGAAGAGAACCCGCTGATGACGCCTCACGAGGATTATCTGCAGATTCCTTGTTACGCAGTAATCGTTGGTTGAATGGTCCCGAATTTTTATGGAAACCAGAGAATTATTGGCCATGTCAAATCAACCTGGCCGTTGCAGTCAGCGATGACGACCCAGAAGTCAAGAAGAATGCCCAAGCCTTCTCTATTGAAGATAGTTCACACGCCACAGTTGAAGGAATTATCGAGAGATTTTCGTCATGGGAGAAGCTGAAAAGATTCGTTTCATGGATACTTCGATATCGTGCCAATTTATCGAAGGCTGTCATGAGAGCTAAGACTAACAGAAACTCGGATATTTCGACTCCAGACTTCAGACCACTCGACCTGGATGAAATGCAGCATGCAGAAAAGGAAATTTTAAAATATATTCAAGGAAGAAGCTTTCAAGAGGAGTTAGCTCGTCTTAACTCCGTTGATGACCAGTCAGCAAAGTCGTTGAAAGGCCAAGTTAAGAAAACAAGTCCCATCTACAAACTTGACCCTCGGTTGAAGGATCAACTCTTGCGAGTCGGAGGACGCCTAACGAATGCCCCCATCTCGGAGGAACGGAAACACCCCATCATCCTACCAAAGAATTGTCACATTTCCACCTTGATTGCAAGGTATTACCACCGGTTAGCGGGCACAGTGGTTTAGAACATGTTCTGTCCTTGATCAGAGCGCGCTACTGGATGATCGGAGCGAGGAAGACCTTAAAAAAGATGCTAAACAGCTGTGTGGATTGCAAAAGAAGACAAGCAGCAGCAGGTGAACAAAAAATGGCGGACCTCCCAGAGCATCGAGTCACGCCAGATAAGCCGCCGTTTACCTTCGTTGGGGTGGACTGCTTTGGTCCATTTGTTGTGAAAAGAGCACGTAGCCTGGTGAAGAGATATGCCGTTTTATTCACTTGCTTAACCATCCGAGCTGTTCACATTGAAGTGGTGCAAAGCCTCGATACCAGTTCGTTTCTCAACGCATTGCGTAGATTCATCGCCAGAAGGGGACAACCTGAAGTCATTAGATCTGACAATGGCACTAATTTTGTCGGCGGAGAAAGAGAAATTCACAGTGCAATCGATGATTGGAACCAACAGAAAATTCAACGATTCCTCCTGCAGCAAAACGTCAAGTGGATCTTTAATCCTCCCTCAGGATCTCACCATGGTGGAGTTTGGGAGCGCTGCATCCGAACTGCCCGTAAAATATTGTTGGCCCTTTTAAAGCAACAGACTGTGGATGATGAATGCCTTACAACTGTTATGTGCGAGGTTGAATCCATTATGAACAGCAGACCATTGACAAAGGTATCTGACGACCCAAATGACCTAGAAGCCTTGACGCCAAATCATTTGCTTCTTTTACGCCCGGGACCATCGCTACCCCCAGGAGTTTTCCAAGAAGCTGATTTGTATTGTAAACGTCGATGGAGACAAGCTCAATATCTCTCGGATGTTTTTTGGCGCCGCTGGCTGAAGGAATACTTGCCAGAATTGCAACGCCGTCAGAAATGGGTTAATGCTCGTCGCAATTTTTCTGTAGGTGATATTGTTTTGCTCGTTGACGAGAATACACCAAGATCGTCGTGGTTGCTTGGTCGAATCACGAGAGTGAAACCGAATTCGAGAGACGGCTTCGTGAGAAGAGTAGTTTTAAGAACGAAACTTAACACCCTGGAACGCCCTGTGGACAAGATTGTCCTCTTGGAAGCATCAGAATGCACTTGATTGTTGAAGAGGACATCGTCATGTCGATTGGTTATTGATTACGGTTAAAATCTTTATATACTGTTTAAATGTCGCCTTATACAACATTTCGGGGCCGGAATGTAGATTTCAAACCGGAACTGTCATAACTTAGTTTAATGTTATGTTAATTAGTTATGTTAATTCGGGGTATAAATAGTTGTTCACTATCACTTTGATCATACGATACAAAGTTCAAGCTATAGTCTCTACAATTCAAGAAGCGAACGATTTTCTACCGGACAGGCAAATTAATCTGTAAGTTTCATGTATGTATTCGTATGGTTTACTTGTTCGTATTCGTATTCATTTGGTTGTATTCGTACCGTACTAATCTTTGTAAATATTTGTTTAGTTGAACCGCTACATGATTAAAATTCTACGAGTTCAAAGTACACGTCTGGTTAAGACTGAGTCTAACAATGCCAATCCTGAAAAAAAATTCTGTAAGGAGAGTAGTGAAGATGTATTAAGAAAACTTGCCAAACTTAATTTCAAGAATAAAATTCAAAGAAAAGTGAAGTTTTTCCTACCTGGAACAAGAGAGTGGTTGTTAAAAGAAGTTGAAGAATGGTTTTGTAGCAGTGATAGTGAGTCAAGAATAAAGTTAATAACAGCTGGACCAGGACTTGGTAAAAGCGTGTTTGCTGCTAAAATCTGTGAAGATTTTGAGAAGAATGGAAAGCTGGCTGCTTGTCACTTTTGTGATTTCAGCAATTCAAACCTAAGAGATCCTATGGCGATGTTGGAGTCTCTCGCAAGTCAGATGTGCAAGAGCGTCCCTGGTTTTAAAGAGGAGCTCCTTGATCAGTTAGGACGACGTCATCAAGTCCAAAACCTGAGAGATGCATTTCTAATATATTTGCAAAATCCCTTAAATGAATTGGAAATAAAAGAGCCGCGTTTAGTTGTGATCGATGGCCTGGATGAAAGTGCTGCTGATAATAAGAATGAAATTGCGCATTTGATTGCTGAATATTTTCCTGAGCTTCCCGTGTACATCAAAATCTTGGTGACGAGCAGGCCAGAGATTTCCGTTGCTGATCTAAGACTAAGAGACGAGCAAAAGACAGACATTTCCAATGTTCATTACAACAATAATTTAGATCTTGAACTTTTTTTTAAAGAATGTTTTCCAAGTTTAGTTGGCAGGGAAGTGGATAAAAGGGAGATGAGCCAAGATTTCTATAAGGATCATCCATATCTATCATCTCATTACCGCTTTTGGCAAAATAAAACTATTAGTTTACTTTCCATTTTTGTTGCCAAATGCCAAGGCTCGTTTCTCTATGCTTATCACTTTCAACCTGGGCTAAAGGCTCGCTATGATCTTGAGAAGATAACAAAAAATGACGTCATGGGGTTTCTCCCAGAAGGTCTGCATTCTGTATACGAACGATATTTTAAACGCCTTGAAGACGAGCTTAACGCCATAAAACACGAAAAGTTCGATGCTTTGAATATTTTTGCAATGCTGGTTGCTTCCGAAGAAGATCTTCCCCTCACTTTCGTCGCTCAGGCTTTTGGTTTAGCTCCGGATTGTCGCGAAACGAAAGACATCATCAACAAAATTAATGAAACCGTATCGTGCTTGTTGTACGTTTCAGATGACAGCTTAACCGTTTTTCACAAATCCTTTATTGATTGGCTTCTAGCAAAGGGCTACAAAGATCACCAGTATACTGTCAAGGTCGATGATGGACATAGATCGCTTTGGCCTTTATGCGAAAAGGTTTTTAAAGAAATCGTGGAAAGTGTTCGCTCAGGAGTTGAGGTGAAGTTCACTTATGACGTAGAATACACTCTGAAACATGGTTTAAAACATCTAGAAAAGTTTGAAATGGAGGAAGGTGTGTTTTGGTCAGTTGATGTTATTATCGTATGTTATATGTTAACTGTAATCCGTTCGAGTGAATTACTGCGTTTCTGGCTCACATTGCTGCCATGTTCCTGGATTAAAAATGAAGAGTTACGCGCCCGTATTTCGTACCATGTCATTGAATTTGAGTTTTTGGAACATGCCCTGGAACCCCTGGAGATTTATTACGACGATGAAACTCAAGTTTATTCGACCATATTTTCACAATGGTATTTACAAGCGGTTCTTACCCGTTCTCCAGAAGGTTATTTCAGCGATGATGAGAAGAAAATCGCGGAGACGCTACTATCAAACCTTTCACCTTTTGTCGAGTCGAATTCTTACGAAATTTTGGTTTTGCCGCGAGCAG